AAAGGGTGTGTTTCCCTCTGTAGCAGAAAGCAATTCGGTGTAAGGGAGCAATGTTTGAGGTGTTTCCTGAATAGACGGCGTGGGTGGAGGCCCGCCCAGAATGGGCGGGGCGCGCTCTGAAGTGTGCAGCATTTTCCACAAGTCCTCGTAATTCGGGCCGGTGAAGTGTTGAAGGCAAAAGTCGGGCTCAGTAAAGGGGTATTATGACGATTGAAACCGAGTATGGAGATGCGAAAAGGAGCGACAGTGGAGAAAAACTTGAGAAAAACCGTCAACAGCCGTTAACAAAACCATCTTTCCCACTGGCAGTGAAGGAGGGTGGTTTGAGAACGAGGCACGTGCAAACAAGTTTTCTGGTGGTGTCAGTCGTTTTGTCGGTTGATACGGCAATCAACATAGCTGATTTCACACGCTATGCCAGCTACGCACCACTTCCGGAAGTGGGCGGTCGGAGCTCCGCCAGGCGGCGAAAGCGCTTAATACGTTCCCTGGGGCTTTACTACGGCGCCGTTTGAGATTCTGAGCATGGTAACGTCTCTGTGGGTGTGTAGCCATGCACAAAGACTACAAGCGGGATTGGTTTCTTCCACTTAGCCTGACTCGTGCCTTTGAAGAGCCGGAAAAAAGTGGATAGAGGTGTATGGAAGAGTGGAGGCCAGCTCTCAGTGGTGAGGAGGGCTTGACCAAAGTGGGCGAAGTTCGCGACAAAAATTCATAACTCGGCTCCAAGAAGTCCCGGAGGCCGGGAAAAAGGGAGTAGAAGTCGACGAAGAAAAGGAGATCAACTGCTACTAATTGGCGGAGCACGCACTAAAGTGGGCGGAGTCTGCCAAGGGTGTCGCAATTCGGTTCCAAGAAGTCCTAGAGATAGGGGAAAACGGGGTTGAAGGTTGGCGAGGGAAAAAAGGTCAACTGCTATTGGTGGGCGGAGCACGCACCTAAGTAGGCGGAGTATGCCAATTTGTTTATTCCAATCGTAATTTCGTTCCAAGAGGTCCCAGAGACCGGTGAAAAAAGGGGCAGAGTTCGGCGAAAGGAAGGGGGTCAAATGCTATTGGTGAGCGGGGCACGCACCGAAGTAGGCGGAGTTTGCCACGCGATTTATTGTGCGGAAGTAGTCCGAAGACCGGGAAAAGAGGATAATGGTTGATGAAGAAAACGAGGTTTAAAGCCGTCGATGATGGAGCGAATAGAATTTAGCAAAGAAGTCAGATATTCGTGGTGTGTCAGGCCAAATTTGAAAATTTTCGTCGTACTTTCTTGGATTGGAGACAATTCGGTCGGAACCATTTATTGATAGATCACTCTGCTTACATACTGTCCTATTTCGATAATTTCAAGCCCTAGTCAAAATATATGAAGCATATAAAATGTGATTCATTAGATAGCAATTTGAAGTGTTTTGATGTCTCATCGAATTTCCTGTAGAAATTCCTCATAATTCTGCAGAATGCAGAAAACTCCCGAGGATGGACAAGTGGACACTATGTTCTCTTTTTGAGCCTCGACTGGGTCCTGAAAGAGTTTAGAATTGATAAAATCGCTAAAAGAGTGAGCAGGAAAAAATAGATTTCAAAGTCAGCAGCGAAGAAAAGATGTTGGATACAACTGAAAAACTCGTCATTAATAGTGACATCAAAATTGTGGTGGAAATTTCGAAACTTGCATCTGCCTTTTGGTTAATCACGGTCTCCTTATTGAAGAGAATTCCATCATTGACGTATTCTAGTTGTCCACTAACGGTAAACACCGTTAGGCTTCCCGGGCAACTTAGTGTGCAGTTCTCATTGACGGTTGTCGTGTCGAAGTTGAATATTAGTTTGTTGATGTGACCTGTTTTTGTACAGACTGCTATCTGCTTGTGATTACCGCAATTGATTTTTGCACTGACTTGTCCTTCCTGGGAATGGCATGCCAGCTCGATTTTCGCTCCGCTGAGACATTTGTAGCAGCCTGTGAGCTCCGAAACGATGACTGTACACGTGGTGTTTTGCTTCGTCGCCGTTACTTTCATCCTTCGGCGACCAACATGTACTTGCATAATGTGTTCCTACGCCTCATTTTTGCTTTCAACGATTTTCCTTCTTGTAAGATCATGACATTCTAGTCGTGACAGGAAGTGGTGCCTTTTTAATGTTCTCTACCAGATTTGGGTGCTGCATGTGCCAAGTAGCTCTGTTGACAGCTGTAGTGCAAGTGCAGGACGTGCTTGGAAATGAGCAGTTGAATAGTAGCAGCGTGTTTTATCAAACCACTGCAGCTGTCCGACAGTGTGAGGGATGAGGTGGCCTGAGGAAACCTTTTCGTGACTCCTGTAGTAATTCCATCTGTGATGAAGGGCGAAAAGGATCGGTAGTTGTGGTACCGTTGTTCCGATAGAGACATGAGAATATGATTCCATCTCACAGTTCTTCCTGGATAGAGTTTCAAGTGTAACTTCATCCTCCATTTCTTGATTTTGAATTGTGATTGAATTTCGACAGCGAGTTTCCCATATGGCGTTGAAAACTCCGTAGACTACCGCGATTCTGGGTAAGCGTAATATCTGTAGAATAAAGCAGCTTGACATGCAGAGAAAGCAGCCACCACAAGTAAGACATCCGCAGCTCGCTGCGCAAAATGTGAAGCCTGGTGATCGTTTGCTGTTCTTGAGAATCTTCTATTCGATTCGTTGTTTTTGTGTTGTCGCATGTGTCCATTCTACAACTGCCAGCAAATTGCACCGATGTATCTGATTCGGAGTAGAACTGATGGTCACGCGTGTAGACTCAGTTCTTTTTGAATGTGTAGTAAATGTCTTTGATCCTGATGTAAGGAGGCAACTGATTTGTCGTTGTTCGTCTTGAGGATCAACATGTTCCTGATCAGAGGTTGGAGAGTCATGATTGTAGCCTGTTGTACGTGCATGTCTGATTCGTTTCGGAACTGACGCACCATCTCTTCGAGCGGTGCATGAGATGAAATCTGAGCATGCTGTACTTGACTGCAATCCGAAAGATGATGATGCGTTCAAAGTTTCCGTCGGTAGCCAAGTATATTGCCGGAATCCTGATGGTCTGTTTGTGGTGTCGGCAGGGGCGAAGTCGTCTGACAGCAAATCTGCACATGCGAACATGATGTCGACTAATAGGGCAAAGAGGTGTAACAAGGTGATAATAAGGTAAGTCCGATGAAGGCGATGATAGTGATAAGTCCTGCTATGACTAATTGAATTTTTCGCCAGCAGTGAAGATGTAGATGGATTTCCAGCAAACTGTACACTGTATCATTTCGCAGATAGCTCGAGCTTGACAGAAGAGCTGCTGACGTGTATTGAGTTTTCCCTTTGACCATGCTGAGATAGGTACTTTCGAATCGAATGCAATGAGAGCAGTAGGGAACATGGCTGCGCATTTGTTGAATCGTGATAAAAGAGGCAGTAATTTGCAATGCATGCTTCCAGTGCATCCATAGTACGGTTGCGGTTATTTGTGCTCCTCCTTTTGACACAGGTTGCTGAGATTTCATTTCAAAAGGTGCAAGATGCCCGTAGTAGTTCTTTGTTGTTACTCCCCATGCCTTGACTATGAAGTATCCTGTGAATTGTGAATATGGCGTAGACGTGCCGAACGCACAAAACAAAGGGCATTATCGTTATACCAGTTTAGCTCCGCCCTCACGCGCGCGCATGAACACGGAAGCCTCGACAAAACTGACCAAATCGGTGAAGCTTTGTGCTTCACCGCTTAACTATAGCTGCTTCGTTAAATGCATTACTGTCCGTTGCCCATCTTGGCTGTATCTCATTGTTTGATAGCGCAGTGAAGTGCACAGCTAAAGTGATGTGATGTTATATAAACAACCACATGCATCGAGGATCGAGGAAATTCAGCGGTCGAATAATTTTTGGTACTCTCAGATGGAATGCCCAGTAATTCACTATCGAAATTTTAGAGCATCCCATTCATCCTCAAAGAACTCTAGAAGGTGTGCGGTTGAAAGGTATTTATTTACATTATAACGCTATGACATGATAATAAATTGAAATGCATTATCTGCAATCTGGTCGTCGAGTAATCTCTACGTTCGTGCGCATATCGTAGTTTCAGACCCGATCTGTCGTTATCACTTTTTGACCCCGCAAAATGTTACCGTCCAACCCCCATCTCATGTCCCAAAATCATTCCTGACGACTGCTGCGAAGCGCACTAATAAATTTGTGTGAAAATTGTGTTTAGCGCCTCTATCTGCGCATATCAGTCCGTTAATCACTTTGTGACCCCGCACCAAATATGTTCCCGTCATCCCCTATATCATATCCTGAACACAACTCCTGACGACACTGTGCCCAGATATGAATTCGCGACACTTGCGTTCTAGCGCCTTTTATCAGCCCTTATCAGTTGTGATCACTTTCTTACGCCACCAAAATATGTTCTCGTCCCACCCCCTAATATCATATCCTGAAACCAACTCTGACGACCACTGGTGGGCCGAGCTATTGAATTTCCGGTCAGACAGACAAACACATACATCACACCAAGACACACACAACCGCTTAGCCGATTATATATAGTAGGATTCCTTTTTGTTGCAGAAGTAGGATGTTCTGGTGTAAGAAGGTTTTGGATGTTACCGTAATCCTTGGGAATCAAAGCATATGAAATCTTCAGCATCAAGATATTCCTTGATGGCGATGTGTAATTCTGGAACGACGAGTAACGTTCCGTCATAAAGCTCCACTTGGTTGAAACTGCCGATTTTCCTTTTACTATCGCATTTGGTTGAAGGTGTAAAGGAGCACACCTTGTCCGGAACATAGGATGAGATGTCGAACGGAACGTTGGGAAGATTCGAAGAGTTTCTCTTTGAAGTTGTGGTGAAGGAACATGAAGTTGCCCATGAAGGACACGTACATTCTGGGCCACAAAGGGCTTGATTCTGAAGCAGTGGAATCGGCACTCGAATGTGTCTGGTAGGACATGAAATTGGGACCAGCATACTTTAATCCCTTCGCTTGATTAATATGTAGCAAGTGCTACTCTTCGATTTACACAATTGGTTGCATATATGATCTTCTTTGGAATGTTGAGCTCGGACGGACACCTTGTGGATGCGTTCGTCGTTGAACATAATGTGACGACAATCGCTAGAGAGAGGAGTGTTCCAGCATTTTTAGCGAGCGTCTTCGATCTTGTCATCATTGGGTGTCCACGTGGTGGAGTTGGTGGCGAGGCTTCTTTGGATGTTGTTTCTTTTGTATCGCAAATTTCCATTTTGCAAAGTAGGTTAATTGGTCTTGTGATGATTCTTTTGGAAGGTAGTTTGACCTTTGCCAAACGTTGGTAGTTGTCGGATGACGATATTATTTGACCAATTTGCCACTGCCTTTTTCTAGGTTTTTGTCTAGAATCAGAACAATGTCGTTCTTCTTTGGTAGAGATTCGTTGGTACATCGTGGATGTGGGTGCTTCCTGCGATATTGTTCTAAGAAGCTTGTGAGGTACTCTGCTGACCATCTGCTCCAGATGCGATTGAGTATATTGTTTGTGGCATTCCATCCTTCGATTAACAGATCTCTGGTAGTTGTTGTTGGTTCCATTCCGTTTCTGATTAGCTCCGTCGTGGCATAGACAAAATAGTTCCTGGTCGAAGGAAATCAATTGGGCGAAGGGTGGTACGTAATTTTCTTCTGAGATGTAGGTGAGCGGTCGAGAATTCACGATTGCTTCTGATTCCTTAGCAATGGTTTGAAGTTCTTCCATTCCCAGTAGGCGATTGTAGTGCATGTTTGTATGACACTTTGAATATATGCACCATTTTTTCGTACAACCCACCTTGCCATGGGCTGAAGCTGGGAATGAATTTGAATTCGATTTTCCTCTGTGCGCAGTAGTCGATTATGTCCAGGTCTCTTTCTTCTACAGTCGTAAAGGAAGATTGTAGATCCGCGATTGACTTGAACATTTGCGAGTTGTCGCACAGAATCCAGTTCGGGTATGCGACAGTTGCGAAGAATCTTCTGAGTGTGTGTAGCAATTTCATCGCGGACATATCGGGAACAAGATCAACGTAAATTGCTCTTGTATTCAGGCATGTTAGAAGGATTATCAAATACTTTGCTGGTATGTTTTCGTCGGATTTGCATAGAAGTGGTCCTGCGTAATCCATCCCTACGCTTTCAAAGGGATAATTGGGACGTCGAACAGTTTTGCCGGATGCGGCGGGAATTCCGAAAGCTTGAATGGTTGAGCCGTATAGCGTTTGCAGTGATAGCAGAGTTTGTTGAGCACTCGCTTCATAGTATGCCTTCCTTTTGTTATCCATACCTTTTGACGAAGTTCGGTTAGTATATGGTTGACTCCGCAGTGGTTATTGGTAACGTGAACATGGAGAACATACAGGCTAGTTATATGGCTTTCTCGCGGCAGATATACGGGGCTAATCGCTTTTTTTGGGAGATCGGCATTCTCCACTCTTCCTCGAGACTTCCATAGTTTTGTTTCCTCACAGAAGTAGAGGTTCAGCTGTTCCATGATTGCTGAATTTGGTGGGAAGTCCATCCGTGCTTTCCAAAATAGGATAACTTCGGCCTTTTCATGAATTTCTGAACTTGATTCTCCAAACTGTTGTTTAGCCTTGTTCGATTTTTTGACGAAGAAAAGAAGACTGGTGTAAACCACTCGAAGTAAACGTAACCAGCTGCTGAATCGCTCGGGTTGGAATAGTGTATTCGTCGGTGGCGGATCCGAGTGGACTTCGTCGACATGGCAGGAGACTTGGTTCTGTTCGGAAGGAATGTCAGCCGGCCAGTGATCTTCTGTTTTTGAGGGAGTGTGGTCCTTTCCACCAGGTATCATCTGAAACGAGTTGTCCTATGGAGACTCCTCTGCTACCAACGTCGGCGGGATTGCTGTCACCAGGAGTAAATCGTAAGATAGCGTTAGGAGCGTTAATCCTTATGCTATCGATTCGATTCCGTATGAATACAGGTAGGGTTCTCTACTCTTGATCCACATCAGTGCCACATTGCTGTCGGACCATATGAACGTTTTCTCAATCGGAATGTCGAGGTTGGCGAGTATATGTTTCAAGAGCATTGATCCTAGATTGATAGCGGATAATTCGAGTCGAGGTATTGTTAGAAGGGATTTCAGTGGTGCCAGTCGAGTCTTTGACATCAGGATTGAAGATGATCGAGTCTCATTGATTTCTACGAGGTAAGCTACGGCAAAGTATCCAGCTTTCGAAGCATCTGTGATTACGTGAATTTCGAATGTAGATGTCGACTTTGTACCTCTCAGCAGTTTTCTTGCGATGGTGATGTTCGTTGTACTTCAGCTCGATATGATTTCCTTCCAAACTTTGTCATGGTGTGGTGGTAGAGCTTCGTCCCATCCAAGTTTTTCTTTCCATAAGGACTGTAAAAATTGCTTGAAAACAGAACGGGAGAACACCAACCTAGCGGGTCGTACGTCTTGGCGACGATTTTGATCACTTGTCGTTTTGTCCATGTGATTTCAGGGTCCGGTAGTGTTGGAAGTTTGATGGTGAACTGGTCAGATTCGACGTTTCATGAGATACCGAGAATTTTGTGAATCTCGTCCACCTTCGTGCCTTCTTTTGTAGCGAAGAGGTTATTTAGCTCGCTGGAGTTACTTATGTACTGCCGAAGATTCATGCCAGCTTTTAGAAATAGTTGTTTGGACTCATTGTAGAGATCCTTGCCTTGGTCGATACTGTCGACGCCGTAGTATACTATATTGTCCACGTACAGTACCGTGCAGTGAAGTATTCGTTTTCACTTTTTCAAACGTAATTTCCTCAAAACTCAAGCTTTCGCAGTAAAACTTCGACAGCAGTTGACACACACACACGTAGTCATATTATAGCAGCGTATCGGTGCGATAGCCTCCTTTCAAGGGGAAATGGAGCTTCATTTTCGAGTATTGTCCGCGGGCACCCAATTTCATTGTTGATAAACGATGAGTTTTCATGTTGAGAGCACGTGTGTTTTTGATGTTTTGTGTCAATTTCATATGCCTACACAGTACTCAGAACATTCCAAGACATTAGGGATTTCATAGCTTGTGGCAGGACCAGGTGACGCCATCTTTCGGAGCTTCTACGAAGGCTTAACATCCCAGCAGATTTTTGAAGTTCAAGGAGCCCCAGTGGACGACTTGGAAGAAATTCAAGAGAACCTGCCAAAGTCAAAAAGCGCCCAGAAGTAGCAAAAATGACATCTTCTCTCGCCAATAGAATCATTGTGCGACTTGTAAGGAGTGGCTCGCATCACGCTGCACCCAAAATTCACCGCGGATTCTCAACGCCAGACGGTCTAAATCCGTGCGAAGACAACGTGCACGTTGTCTGAGAGATGCTGGGCACTTCTGACGTGGCTCAGTAAGAAACTGCTGATTCCCCCTCAAGAGTGGCAGAGCGCATCTCAAGGCTCATGCCCACAAGAAACGGACTATTAAGGAGTGACAAAAAGCCATCTAGAGCAACGAATCGAAGTTTTTGCTGTTTAGCACGAAAGAAGTCAAGTTTTTGCGAGTTCCCGTTGGTACCAGATATCATCCGAGGTTCCATGTGCTGGACGTGACAAATGCAGGGGGTGCGGTGAGACTGCACAGCTTCTGTGGCATAGGGGTTGATCACCTTCATCGGACCGAGGCTGAAATGGATTCCAAAACGCGCCTCAACATATGGATGACTGCTATCTGGCCGCATACTCGCAGTGTCGACCAGAGTGTTTCATTTTCCGACCCCAAGCGAAAATCAAAGCCGCTCTCGCAATGGTTCCGCAACAACAATGTTCCTCCACTGCCATGCCATCGCAGTCCCCATACTTGAATCAAAGCAAAAATCTGTAGGATGATTTTCGGAGTCAAGCTGAAGGCCCAAAAGCTCACAACGAGTTCGAAAAGTCCGTCCCACTGAAGATCGCGTAGGGGAACCTCCACCAAGAAAAAACCCAATTCCGTCCTTCGCCGGTGTCAAGCTGTCGTAGATGAAAACGGTTTTGCGACAAAGTGCTGATGTTGTAGTTGTTACGTCTGTTATTATATAAGTCATTTTGTTATTATTTTTGAATTTTAGATAGATTGAATTTCGAACAAGTAATATGGTATTTGACCGAAAAAAATTAAAAATTTACTAAATTAGTATAGAAGCCACCTAGACAACTGAAGATTTGCTCCCTTATCAGGTAGAATGATGTTTTCTCATCTACAAAAAATCGGAACAAAAGCTTGAGTTTTGCGGGAGTTACGTTTAAAAAAGTGAAAACGAATACTTCACTGCACGGTACTGTAGGTGTTTCTTATGAGTTCCTGTGCGAGTAGAGTCTCTGTTATGATAAGATGGTGTCGTATGGTCCCAGCAAGCAGGAATGGAGATACTATCAAGCCGAATGGTACTCTACGGAGTCTGTATGTAGTGATGTTGTCTGGCGGAACCGATTTCTGGGGGTCCTTGAGCCATAGAAAACGCGTAAAGTTTTTGCTTTCTTCATCCAATCCATTCATTAGGACCGCCTTTTCTATGTCACTTGAGATGATGACGGGAGTAGTTCGTATACGAAGAATCAGTCCGGTGAGGTCAGGCAATAGTACCGGTCCTCGAAACAATAGATCGTTTAAGCTTGGGTTGTCCATTGTTTTGCTGATCCGTCGTACACGCAGCGAACTTTTGCCGTTGTGCTGCTTTTCGAAATAACTGCGTGATGTGCTAAGTAGTGACAGCAACTTGGAGGCATAACTTCGTCAACTTCTTCTATTATTCTTCTTGCGAGTTGATCTTGAATGAGTCGATGATATGTATCCTCTAGAAGTACTGGTTTCTGTCGTAGAACTTCGACGTTTTGAACGAGTCTGGCGTAAGCTAACTGTAGATTTGATGGAAGTTCCTCCTTATTCCCTTTAAATGGAAACTGTACGACATATCTTCCTTCGCTCTCATCGAAGAAGATTGTTTCATTTAATTTTCGCATGCACATTTCGTCGTCAGTCGTCATATGGTTCTCCACTGTTCCTTGTGATTCAAGATCGAAGAACCGTTGCAGAAGATTGTCCAGATTTTCGTGTTCCTCCGTAGTTGAGTTGTAGCAGCAATTTGCAGCTTTTCCTGTTCGCAATGGTTTTCCCGTGACTATGTCGCCGACGGAAGAATGTACTATTTGATAACCGTTTGGTAAGTTTTTCACGTAGAAATCGTCCGACAGGATGATGTTCCAGAAGTAGTCCGCGCCGATGAGTATAGATGGCTTCTTTGATTCAGCAGCGAAAGTGGCCATTTTTCGAGTTCTTCTGTAAACGTGACTATTTTTAAATCGTTTGTCAAGTGTTGAATGGCTTTGACAAAGAGAATCATCTGGGCTCCTTTGAGCGTTTGAAGTCCCATGACGTGATGAGTCGCAGAAAGAGTGACTGGTTTCACTGTTCCAAATGTGAACATGGAGAGTTCTTCTGTTTCCTTGATGGGAAGTGCGAGCCTATTCGCAAGATCTGTTGTGATGTAACTTCTACTGGATCCACTATCAAGAAAGGCAGTCGTCTTGACGACTTGTTCTGGATTGTTGGGATTGAAGACTTCTACTTCAGTGCACATCAGTAGAACGGGTGTAGATGGCGGTGTCAGCAAAACGTCAGAAGAGTTGGTTGAGGCAGTTACTTCGTTCGCGATGGTATTGTTTTCTTGTTGACTAGTCGAAGGTACAGCACTAGAAACGAAGTGTACCTGCTGGTTTCGTACTTCCTTGTGTTTTACATTTGATGGTGCTGCTTCCAATGAATCATGGCGGTATTTCCTTTGATCCTGTTGTTTCGCGGATGTTTGGAAACATAGCGTCGTATGATGACGTCGCGCACACGTCTGGCAAAAAATTTTCGACGGACACTCCTTCGTGTGGTGTTTGCTGGAGAGGCAATTGAAGCAAAGTTTCTTATCTCTGGTGATTTGAGCACGAAGTTGTGGGGTAGGAAACTTGGTGCAATAGAAAGTTGAATGTTGGTTTGACTCACAAAAGGTACATCTGAGCTTGTTGGACGTCGAGTTTGTTGGCTGAAGTCTTCTCGTATGTGTAGGCTCGCGTCGAAAACGAGGGCTCTCTCGGGAGTTTTTCTTCTGACTTCTGTGCAGACTGGCATACGCATCTTCGTGGGGATGTTGGAAGCTCTTGCAGTGGAATTCTATTTCTTGCAGAGTAGCCTCCTTATGAACGATTAACGTCAGTATGTGTAACAGCTCCGTTGGTGTGAGGTTGTGGGAGTTTCCCGTTGCGTCGTAGATTCTGCTCCTTATGTGACGCGGAAGTTTATTGATAAGGATGGCGCCAAGTGCAATTTCTTTGGAGTCGTCGTCGTATGAACAGAATTGTATGGTTAAGGCGAACATCTTGTTGTAGAGTGATGGAGATTTTTGCCTTCTGGATCACATGGAGGTAAATTGACGGGTTGACTGAGTGAGATTTGTCGTGTAGTTACCTTGTCATCGAACCTGGTCTTCAAAATGTCGAGTGCGATTTGATAGTTCGTTGCCGTCAGAGCGAGTCCCTGGATTGAGTGTAGTGCTCGTCCTCGCAAGCATGATTTCAATAGCGAGAACTTAGTCGTGTCATCAAGTTATTTCTTGTCGCCGATTAATGTTGAATAGCGTGCGAAAAATTCTGGATATTCCAACAGGTTACCGTCGAAGGATGGTAGATCGAGTCTGCTCAGAATTGATGCATCCACGAAGCTCGTTGTTGATGTTGTTTCTTGACGCTGCTGCTTGTTGGATAGTTGTTGAACATGAAGTAGTTGTTATGGAGTCCCTTCATAGTTGTGAGGTTGTCTCATGTGAATCGGCAACTGACGTTTGGCGAATTCCGTATCAAGATGGTTAAGAAGCTCGTCAGAATTTTCGAGACTACTCACTGCTTCTTGGATGGTCTTCGTATAGTCTCCATATTTTTCCAAGTATTGTGTGAATACCAGACGTTCATTTGGATCGGCTTCTTGTGCGCTGGACCATTCCGTATGGAGTTGTTCAATCAGTGAATACGCTTTCAGCAATTTGTTTCTTGCACCGATGATTCCTTCTTGAGATTCTGTGATTTCTTCATCACTGAATTGTTGAAAACCGACCTCCTTTTCTGGGATGTTTTTGTCGCGGAGAATCTGTTTGAATACCTCGATGTGTCGGGCGAGTTTCTTCTTCTAGATTCCGATTTGGCGGCGAATTTTTTCACTATCGAACATGGTTTAGACTATGATGACAAATGTGACGTCGGAGTGCGCTTCTGTCGTTGGTGAAGAGGATTTCGTTTTCGCGTCGATGTTTTCGTCGTGGTACTTGTTGACTTGAAGTTGTTGATGCCGAGCTTGCGGATTTGTGAGCTTGACTGGCAATGAGTAGGTGCGGATGCTGCAGGAGTTGACAGGTGAGATGAAGTCTTCGGTGTCGACGGCGAGTATTTGCGGACGTGGAACCTGTCGTTGCGTCGTGTGGATGAGGGATGGGAGGGGGAAGTGATGGAAGTGGGAGTCGATGTAGGAGTAGGCTCTTTTGCTGTCGATGGGAATGCGTGGTTGAGAAGTTGCCACTGGTACTGGAGCTCCAAGTTGCAGCGTCACTGGAGGATCGGGATTGCCGTGGTCGCCATTTCTTGGATTGGAGACAATTTGGTCGAAACCATTTATTGATAGACCAGTTTCGCTCCGCCCGCTATCGCGCGCATCACACGGCAGGCTTTAATGAGACTGAAAGACCCATGGAATATCAGCATGAGGCTCTCCATTAGCCACCTCACTATTGAATGTGTTAGACTTTTCCCAGTTTCGCTGAAGTCAATTGAGAATACGCGTGATAACGTCTGGAGCTGAAATGGCACTCACAACTGTAAACATCCAGCATTCTTCCCGAATTCGGATAATTTAGCGGTGAACCTTTTGCTGTCAGTTTCACAAGGAGAACGAAATATGCCTATTTACATGAGTGACGAGCTAAGGCTTATCATTTATCCACATTCACCATTATTTAGAACCCCGAAAGGATTAGCGGTTTAATGAGTTTGGGCTTTCTTGACAGAAATGAAAGTTATCATCTGCTGAGGACTTGATTTAGTTTATGCAATAGACTGCTAAAGAGTAAGTTGGTCATACAATGACACAATGCATGTACCACTACAAATAGAATTTGTAAGTAGGGAAGCTCTAGCGCCAGCGCAAGCTAGGTAACAGAATCGACGACTTCTGCGTGCTGACGCACCTTATCAACCTTTATCAGTTGCAATCACTTTCAATCACCCACTAACAATATCTCCGTCCCACCCCACATGACACTTGCGAGTATGATTGCTTTGGTGTCAATGCGAGCCAGGTAACGGAATCGACGACTTTTGCGCTCTGACGCGCCTTATCAGTCCTTATTAGGTGTAACCACTTTCTATCACCCATCAACAATGTCCCCGTCCCATCCCACATAACACTTGTAAGTAGGGGCGCTCTAGTGTCAGCGCAAGCTGGGTAACGGAATCGACGACTTTTGCACTCTGAAGCGCCTTATCAGTCCTTATCAGGTGTAACCACTTTCTATCACCCATCAACAATGTCCCCGTCCCACCCTACATGACACTTGCAAGTATGGTTGCTCTGGTGTCAACGCGAGCTGGGGTAACGGAATCGACGACTCTCGCGCTCTGACGCGCCTTATCAGTCCTTATCAGGTGTAACCACTTTCTATCACCCATCAACAATGTTCCCGTGCCACCCTACATAACACTCGTAAGTAGGGGCGTTCTAGTATCAGCGCAAGCTGGGTAACGGAATCGACGACTTTTGGGCTCTGACGCGCCTTATCAGTCGTATCCAGTCCCAACACAGTACACTTGAGTCCATCCCACTTTCCTATAACATATGTAAGAACCATGGCGCTATCATTACTGTGACTCGAGCTACCGAATTCGGTGACTACACACACACACACACACACACACACACACACACACACACAACACACACACACACAACACACACACACACACACACACACACACACACTTAGCGAATTATATATAGTAGGATCACTCGGCTTATATACTGTAGTATTTCGATAATTTCAAGCCCTAGTCAAAATATATGAAGCATATAAAATGTGATTCATTAGATAGCAATTCGAAGTGTTTTGATGTCTCATCGAATTTCCTGTAGAATTTCCTCATAATTCTGCAGAATGCAGAAAACGTCATCAAAATTCGCCCCAGATCTGTGTTGCAAGCGCAATGCGTGCGGCGCCAATTGGTCAACAATAAGGAGGAAATGACGACGGCGATGAAGCTCATAGAGATATAAGACAGTGCTACGTGCGGAGGGAAAGTCATCGTGACTATGATCAATCGCTTTTCTCAGCACATAAAGAGCCCACATAGCATTCCATCCCATTTTCTTTCTTCAAACCCTCGTCCTCCACTCGGTCTTTTCCTCTAGGACGACATTGGTAGGATACACCTGTCATTCCAATGTTTTCATGTGTTGTGATTGTGCTATAGTATCCTACTATATATAATTCGCTAAGTATGTCTGTGTGTGTGCGCCTGTTTGTCACGAAACTCATAGAGCGCTTGGCTGCAACTATGGTCCGCTGTAATTTTAGTATTATGTAGGTGCCAGGACGGGAAAATATTCGATGGGGTTCAGAAAGGGATAACGACTGATAAGAGCTGATAAAAAGCGCAATAATGCAAATTTCACGAAATTTACTGTAGGTGTCCCAGCAGCAGAGGCGTTGGTTTCGAAAAGTGATGTAGAGGGTGGGACGGGGACATATTTGGTGGGGGTCAGAGTGTGATACTGGCCGGTAAGGATTAACGACAACGAGATGCGCAAAAGCACAGAGGCCACCTATAAGCAGATATGAGATATCCCAACTCATTTCAATATCATTTCACATGCGTTGTCGTCCTTAGCCCAAATTACCATTTGGCCGCTACACTCCCCCAAGTTCCTAAAAATGCACGGTGGATGTTCGAAGAAACATGATAATCAGTACTTAGTATTTCTGTTCAAACATCATTAGCATCAAATGTTGTACGGCCGCCAAATTGTCCTGACATTCGATGCATGGTGGTTGTTTACAAACATCGTTTTAACTCCGTACTCCACCGCGCGACTTAAGCGGACACTGCGCTAACGCATTTCTGGAAGCAACCAACCTAACGCTCCACCAACCGTCCAGCTGCACCAAAACCTTCAATGTCATGCGCGCGGTAGCGTGCGGAGCTAAACTTGTTTTAGTTGATCTGAAGGGCTTAGGCCCGGAACGTTATCAATGAAGCTTTGTGAAAGAAGAGCTCCCGAATCGTTTCAATTTGAAATATGAAGTTCAGGGAACCAACAAAAATATAATCGCTATAGTTGGAACCTGTTATACGCTTTATACTTGTTGGAGAGCGAAAACCTTGCGGGTTGAGACCTGCCTTCATTTTCGTGCAACTAGTCCTTCAGAGGGGCCGTAGTCGCTGAGAGTGCTGATGCAGCAAAGGCGAACCCTTCGGCAAAAAATCCTCCGCGGAGCCATTTTGACGTGCATAACGAATCGAGCCACTTTGCTAAGCGCTGCCTAGAGCGAAGCTTCTGGTTAACAGTGCTGTACTAGACTTGAGGAAGTTGAAGGATTATGGCTTTGAAGGGTGCAAACTCTCCTCCATCAGAATTTTGCCATAATCAACACAAATTCGTTATTTCATAATAATTTTTACACTTCCAGGGCAGTTCAGAACGATCTCGTTTGAAACTAAATCTACTACCAGATTGAAAGTTGAAGAACGCTACAATTATTCAAATGTGATCGAATTTCAAAATCTTAAACATCTTAACCTAACATGTAACTGCTCCAAGGTCAGTGCCCAAGATCAATCAACACACAGTTAGGTAAATTCTAAGGCGGTCACAAAGCTTCTGTCCACCAAAAGGAAGGCGTGTAGATTGATAAGCATGCGCTGTGTAGTACTAAGGGTAAGAATTTTGAAGGAAATAAAGGAAGATGCTGTTATGGTATCTATTTTTCATGGCTGAGCCGCCGCTTTTTTTATTTACTTTTTTTTACTCTTTTTACAGTAAGACACGTGATCCAAGATCTTTCTCTGTCTTTTTCTACTGGCTGAACGACTTTTATGGTGGAAGGTAGGTTCATAAGGAAGGCGGCTGTTTATTTAGAGAAAGCCCGCCAAGATAGGTTCAACAACTTTCCATACTTTGGTTGGTGTAGGTCGTCATGGAGATGGGAGGGAAGGAGACAAGAATAGTATGGAAAATTTTCCTCGACCCCTCGTTTGATCCTGGTGATGCCTCCTCTCACGGTCGTTCCACAAAACACCTTCAATCAATCAGTCATGCTACCGTACTTCTCCCTCTCCCCCTCCCTTCCGAGATACCCTTGCTCCTGTAGCAGGCGCGTCATGTTATACGTTTGAGTGATAATATGCTACGGCAATTATGTCAAGTGAAAGAGTGAAGGAAGGGCACTACAATGGAAAGGATGGCTGTACCGTTGCGGATGTGAGGGCCGAAAATGAGTTTCGTCCCAGGTGGTGTTCTGCCTTTGCGATGCGATTCTGCACCCTAACAGGAATATCCTGCGGTGAAAAACCGTACATCGACACGACTTCTTCGATTTCATGACACGTCCATGTAGCTGTTCTAGAGGTGATACAAGGCGTGATTTTCCGTGGAAAAACCTACTTTGTACTTTGAAAATGCCTACAGATGCAAACATCTCATCAGAAGCACTTAATTCGATTGCAAATTTGGCTCCCAGTCTGTCCGATACCGTTGAAAGTTTAATCTTCCTGTACAAATTCTCGAAGAGGTAAAATGAGCCGCAGCTCCTCATTGTCAGTGATCTTCACCCTCTCGGCACAACCGGAAGAGTGTCATAGAGTGATGTCAAACCAGTGAGTGACAAAACTCCTTTTTTTCGTTGTTTCCATTTAGCATTATTCGTTATGCAGTGTTCTTATTTGTGGCTCAAAACGAACAACAAAATCATTTATGAGAAGGATGCACAGAAATTATCCACTATCACTTTCTGCAAACAATAACGGCTAAGCTGTTGACGCTGTGCTCTTTACAGTCATACTTCCAGAAAGTCTCTGTCCCATAACTCTCACTATCATCGAGCTGTAATCAATTACATGAAGACCGAATAACAATCAGATACGCACTGCCCATCTGCTCTTGAATTAGCGATCACGAAAGGTTGCTAGCAAAGTTATTCACTACCCACGAAAATCACAGAAGTTCAAATTTGAAATGTTCCAAATTCGTAATTTGATCCTTCAGCCACTCTACGTAAAACTCACTCGATCGTTTCACTTGAATAAGTTCTACGGGATAGTAACAGTTTCGTGACCTCATGAATGTCGTTTGGCACTATCTTTTCAGAGGGGTAAGCCATAATCAGTAGCCAAAGCGCTGAACTAATTACTTTAGGCCTAGATAGTCACAATTGCTCAAGATCGCTGGAAGCAGATTCCCCTCAAGATCTTCGCTTGAGACCGATCCCCACACTGTCGATGTGATTGTATTAGGTTGCTCGAGAATTAGTTAATCATTTTACATTCATTGCTGTAAAAAAAAACCTAGAAAAATGGCGATAGCGTGACACATGTTCCATAATCCACAGTAGCACCCACAGCAGCCTGCCTGAACAATAGTCGCCAACTTTTATGCTGCTTTCCGTAGCTATTACTTTAATTTTCTTAAAGGAAGTGGTCACGATAATTCTCAGAGGGACGATAAGGAAAGCTGCGTACTGGAGTGCATAGAGGTCCTGTCCAATGTTAGAGCACGTGAAGTTTAAGTGGCAGTGGCGCCTTATCAATGGAGTGATAAGGCGTCGAGATCCACTTCCGGTTAGCAAAGACAAAGTCTTATCGATGTGGAAAGGGGTGCGATAAGAGCGTGCTAGATATTATACCGTTATCGCTATCGTGCCGTTTTCATTCTGGAGTGCACCTCTTATCAAGCAGCCGCACCTTCTTATCTCATCGTATTACATCTTCCATGGGCTTACACTTGTCCAACACTTACTGCCTCGCACCTTATCGATTGATAATGCCAGGGTAGCAAATCCGGACGTGGAAGCCAGCGTGATCGCTTCCTTTAGAACCTATTCATGAGATTTCTTTTTCATCACCACCGATTAGGATCTTACAAACGCCAAACGAGTTAGAGGATCAAGCAGAAGATGCCGATGGCCAATGAATACACAGTGCGTTGGAGGTTTAGTCTATTCAGGGTTCGTCTTTTTCTAGTTGAAAAAGGTCAAACTCAGACCACCCCGTTCAACCAGTGACTGGCAATCTCGATGCTCTACCGACGTCATTGGAAGGGGATTTGGACAGAGAAGTTGTTTGACAGGGCGCATTCAGTGCGACAAGATGACGGTATTGAGACATTTCCAGGGACTAGTGAAGATTAGCGAAGATGGGGTTTGTATGTCTCATGCTCTAAGACCGAATCAGAACACGATATAATGCTGTCGTGTTCCTGTCTGGTTTCCCATGGCTTCTTCAGTTAATAATCCAGCATATTTATCGTGATGTGGACTGTTCGCAGTGTGCCAGCAAATCCACAAGCAACATAGCCTTGAACCATTAGTGACCTCTTACACTTAAAGCCCCTTCTCCGAATCCGATCCTTCCAAGAAATTGGCGAAATACGAGAGGAGCTTTGTCCTAGGAACCTGTACCCACTACTAGCATGGCCCCTGATGAAGACAAATGTCAAAAGCTTGACAACGATGCCTTCAACCTTGAAGGCAAAGGTTGGGAGTAGTTGGTTGAACTAACCCTTTCGGCGATGCCTGTACTTGGTCACGCACCCGTAGAGATATTCCCACATTGGTTATTGGCTGGCATAACGTGTGAAATCAGTTAGGTTGATTGCCGTATCAACCGATAGAACGACTGACATCTCCAGAAAACTTGTTTGTACGTGCCTCATTCTCCAAGCCAGCCTCCTTCCTTGCATGTGGGAGAGATGGTTTTGTTAGCGGCCTTGTCGACGGTTATTCTTAGTTTTTTCTCCACTGTCGTTCCACTTCGCATCTCTATACTCAGTTTTAATCGCCATAATACCCCCTTACTGAGCCCGACTTTTGCCTCAAAACGAAGCGTTTGCGGAGAAGATTCGAGAAATATTGGAGAACCTCGTGCCGGCGAAAACTTCAGCTCTGCCGATTTGTGCTTATCTCCTGTCAGCAAACAACCACCTACTCGACTCTCCAGCATACTTTTTCGGAAAGAAATTTTGCCCTAAATGACATGGTCTCAACGCCGAAATCTGATTTTTCGTCGATCTGAAATTTACGCAATCCCACAAGAAAGGCATCGAATAGCTCCACATGTGGACACTGTTTTGTATGCAATGATGTTGTAAGTTTGGATGAGCAAACACTTGAGAAATTTGGAAGAAAATCAATCTGAAAAATATCCGAAGCGATCCACTGATTATAAGACAATCTGATAAAAATCTTTTAGAAATTGAGCAGAAGGACCCCTACGACAGGTGATCCAAGTGACTGTCACCTGTTTCACCCTGAACTGTGCGATCGAACACGTGCACGACACATCTTTTGCTAAAACATCTACAAAGAAGGTACATCTTTGGAAAGGTCCAAGTCTGATATGCCGGAATGTTGACTCATTAAAGGAAGCGATTACGATAGATTTCACAGGAGTTTGGAGTGAACGTGAGGGTCTCAGTAATACACCAATGGCGAAAAAAGCAAAGAAATCCGTCAAAAATAAGCAGAATAATACCCCTTTGATTGCCTTTTCATTTTCGACCACCGATGAGCGACGGTGAAGAACGACGTTGTCCAGACGTGTTAACCCGATAGCCGCCATCTTGCCAACAAGCATAGTGTACTGATTGATAAGGCAATACGTGGGAAAGTGGGAAGATACAGCCGCTAGAAGGGAGATGTTCATCTAAAATGAAAAGCAAACAGCAATGAGTCCATCCATATCATCAACAGAACTAGTGGGCGTCACGTCACAGGGGGCGGGGCATCGCACGGGTCCTGCTCAGCAATTACAGCACCTTCCGCCGTGGGAGAACCACACCTCGCTCCCTTGGCAGCCAAGTAATTGCTCCGTGTGGCGCAGGATCTCCCCCTATGCGAAAAGTTCTTATCGTAATCGCTTCCTTTAAAAACAGTTCTTTCATCGCGCAGCTGTTTTCTGCTAGAGAACTAGGACGCGAAGCTAGAACCTACAATCAGCGATACTATTTACATTGACTTTTGCACTCTGCACACCCGCGATGCTCTATGGCTGTGTGCTTGCCCCTGAGCAAGAATGAAGAAAGACAGTTGCGTTCTACGGGAATGAGTGTGCTGAGATGGGGTTGTGGCTGGACGCAACTGTATAGCACAGAAACGACAATTTCACAACGTGCACATTGCGCTTGTTCAACTGATAGTGCGAGAACACCGACTGGATGGTGTGGATACATGCTAAATACGCCACAGAATCATCTCTTAAAGAAAGCACTCGACTAGACCAGGGCAGAAGGTCATGACGAGCTGCGAGGAAAGATGGACGGAAGCCTTAAAGCGCACCTCACGGAGGAGACCGCGCTGCTGAAGTGAGATCGAATTAAGATCAGTATGGGGTCGTAACTTGCCAGGAAGGGAAGGGATCGTAAGCTCAAGCATCATCCTTGGAGTATGAAGTTACCAAAGCACGGCAGAGCGGTGAGGACAGACTTCCAACTACTTATGCGACTACTCTCCACAGACGATTGCATGACGCGTACCAGAGGAGGAATCCTTGAGAGATCATTAAATCGTTCCTCATCGTACGTTGGTCGTGAGCGGCTGCGTGTATTTCCTCAGTGGACAGTTCCACTTTTTTCTCTTATTCTCTGGTTTCTGGAGCACCGACTCTATTCAATCACACTATTATGACTCGTTTTGCAAGAAAGAACCAATCAGACGGGAGAGATGAGCAGGAAATACCTTTATGGGCTAGTATGAGAATGATGGAGAGGTATGATATGGTATGCTTGCGCTGAACGATTGGAAAAAGCGCTTTTGACATCGTTTGACAAGATGGTCAGTAAGATTGAAGAAATCAACATGCGGCAGGAGGAGATACTGGCCCGTATTCCAGCTCTCAGAAACAGCGTTTTGAGATCGTTAAGCGAGACGTAAATCAAAACGCGCTATATTCAACAATAGTTAAAGTCAAGGCGGACGAGAAGAAGATCGATGACAAGCTGAGGAGGATAGCATGGGTAGGACTTGGCGAGCAGAAGGATGGTCTCGCTACAAAGAAGTTTGACAAGGAGGCCCTGAAAGAGGTTTGAGTTTGACAAGGAGGCCCTCTGGCGATGCTGAGCTGATGGAGGAGTTTTCAAAGGGAAATATTACGGCTCTTCGTCATTCGGCAGGTCAACCTAGAGGGATCAATAGCCGTGGAAGGATTATTAAAATCAGTTTGCTCTCGCAGGAACTCAAGGAAAGGCACAGCATATGAGGTCAGGTCGGCAGAGTTTGACGGATCACTCCTATGCGCGGCGCGACTATACTGCTGAGGAACTGGAATTGGACCGCTCCTTGAGAAAGCAAGCTGGTTAATGGAACACTAGTGTGGGCAAACTGTTATACGTAGTACGAGATCTCCAAATACATAAGCTTCGGAATCCTAGAGAACTTGCGCATCACATTTCTGTTGAGCCTCATGCATCAGTGAGCCGTCCTTTCTCGCTTCCTTCGCAGGACATGGATGCGTCTCGGGTCACAGTTACGTCGTCTGGTACTGCTTGTTTTTAACAGATTTGTTCTCCTCAACGCCAGATCCGTGAACGATAAGCTACCTGATCTCCATCATTTACTAACATGCAGTCCCTATGGTTTGTTTATTACAGAAGACTGGTTCAAACTCCAGCAAATTAGATCGACAGTAAACTTTGTCGCGGGCTTTCCTTACCTAGTTTATCGATGCGATAGAGAAGGAGATACACCCGGGGGTGGAGTGATGATTATAATTAGGAATACTATTTCTACTTCTCTCACATCGTCTCGTAATTTTTCCATTTATTTACAGTGCATTTCCATACAAATCACATTGTCCAACACTACAGCTTGCATCGTGCTGTGCTACCGTAGTCCACCTTGCCCAGTTACCTCCTTTGAAGAATTTCTCCTCTATCTTGAAGAACTCAGTGAAAATCGCTTGCCGCTTATAATTCTTGGTGATTTCAACTTTTATGAGCTCACATGGTCCCATCAATCTCAGACTAGGAACGAGTTCGAGCTCAAGCAATCAGAGTTTTTTGTTTGCTGATTTCGCTCGCGCTAATGATTTCGTACAGCTAGTGTTACAACCTACGCACGGTTGCATTTTTCTAAATATAATTCTGTCTAACAGCCCCACACTCGTGAGAGATATCTTAATTGAAGCACCTTTTTCAACTTCCGATCATGCCACAGTTACCTTTTCACTGTCCTTTAGTAGACCAAAATATTCTCAGAAATTTTTCATATATTTTGCGAAGGGGAATTACAATATTATCTGTGACCATCTTCTCCGTGTAAATTGGCGCCAGATCTTTGATGCTTGTGTGACTATAGATGATTGTTACATAGCCCTTATGAGTTGTTGCCATTTTCATATCTCTCGATTTATGCTTTACGGCTATATCAGCGATAAAACAGCGAATGTTCCACGACACTTATTGAGGTTACAAGTCCGAGTAGAAAAGCTATTCAGAAGAAAAGATTACTTGCATAGTCAAAAATATCTTAGACTATCGAGGCTATCAAAAAAGAAACTAGCAAGGATGAGTCTTGAGCGCGAAGAAAAAATTGCTCGTTCAAAAAATGTTAGAAAATTTTGGAGTTTTTGTAATTCTAGGCTCAAATCTTCAGCTGCCTTCAGTACTATTATTTCCATGTCAGGGGAGCAGTGCATTCACGACTTTGATAAAACGGAAGCCTTCGCCGAGTATTTCAAAACATTTTACAAGAGGTGTTCTCCATTACAACATGAAAGTTTTACCATAACCTCCAGTTGCTGTCTTGATTGGATCGATATCAATTATGAAAATGTTTTTCACACCCCGAAAAGGCTTCCTTTGCGCTGCTCCACTTCTCCTGATGCTCTCCCTACATATATCTCAGAAAGGCAGCTCTTGGACTTGCACCCGCAGTGACTTGTTTATTCAATCGGATAATGTTCAAGGGCGAAATTACAGCCATGTGGCATTTAGGTTTTGTTCGACCTATACATAAAGAAAGGTGATAAAAGTTACGTGAAGAATTACAGACCTGTATGCCTCACGGCATCACTCAGCAAAGTTATGGAGCGAATCAATAGTTGCAAGCTCAGAGAGTTTCTCAATTCTAATAATCTGATAAGCCCGTGTCAACACGGTTTCCTTCCAAAAAAATCTACTTCCTCTGCATTCCTTTCATCTATTCCTATATGGCAAAATGCTATTGATAAGAGGAAGTCGGTTTTTATAGCATACCAGTTGGGCTGCGCACGATACCGAGCGCGAGAGACGGCTGCGGTGAGTAGATGACTTGTGAGGGATGATACTTACCCGAGTTGCGCAGTACGTATCCAATCATACATGACCGTATAGAATTTTGGTTGCTGCGACCTCACCCGGTGAATAGTGTGAGAGGTGACCAATTCTGACCCCCTAGGGGAAAACCTATGTATATATAATCCGTATCGGTTGATAGCTCAGAAGTTTTCAACAACAACACTTATGGCAATCAAATCCCGAGCCTCATACGTTTAAAAAGCCGTCTTAAAAAATAATTATAAATGCAGTGGGATACCCAGTCTACACCTATTTACACCACGCCAGACTGAGCAATGCTCAGCCAGCTGAAGGGTATTTCATGCACAGAATGAATAGTGTTTTTTCTATCATTCTCTTTTTGCTTTGTGCACATGATGATACAGTCACGAATTTTTTTGTCAAGCCTCTTCCCATGTTTGTAGGTCTTCTCGGTTTGCCTTACTTTCATGTGTTTGAGAATCTGGAACATGGCAGAAGTGTTACTGATGGGAGTGGTTTGGGTTTTGGGAGTCTAGGTATAACGTGAAAGGGAGGAGTAGGAGGGCCAAAAAATGGGAGAAGTTAAGACAAATGATTGTTTTTCTCGTTTCAAGGTTATTTAATACCGCAATCCCGCGAGCGGTCAGACAAACAAACTCTGGTTCATATATTAGTATGATATAGGGGTGATCTATGGTCTATTCAACCCCCATTTCCTGGTTTTTTGGATGTTTTTGGACGAAAAACGCCTATTTTTTCACAAAAAAATTTCACTTTAAGCGCACACCCCGCCCACAGAAGGCGGACTTTAGCATGGCTAATATATTCCCCTTATAGAGCGATAAGTTCCCTATTTAGGCCCTATTTTTCCCTGTCTTTAGACAGTTCCGAAGAAAAAATTGCAATTTTTTAACGAAATTTCGATTTTTGACGCACGCCCCGCCCACTGGGGGTAATGTTTAGCATAGCCAATATACTCACGCTTATAGAGCGGTAAGTACCCTACTAGGACCTTATTTTCCCTGTCTTGGTACCAGGGTGAATATCGGTCGAGGAAATCCTCGACAGGGGGGTCGTACCTGTTGGGGTGGTCCATGGGGGGTCGTACTCGTGGGGGTCAGTAACAGAAGTAGTATCATGGTGCAGATAGGTAATAGGGTATAGCGCAGCAGAAAATGAAAACATCCGAAAAAAAACATGATATTAAATTTTCTTTGCAGGTTCAGTCGCTCCATTCCTCCACCTTCATGAGAAGGGCGTATTTGAAGGCAGTACAAAGAATGAAAGTGCATCCCCGCAAAGAAGAGTGCCACATGTGCGCACGCGCTGCAAAGGCACCTCCTCCGCCACTCGCTCCTTCTCCCTTAATACCTCGCTGAGAATGACGCTGTTGTTAGGGACCCTGTCGGAAAAACGACAACCGTGAAGAAAAAGCGCTGGGCAAATGAAGTTGTTTTTTAGGTTACAGGAATAGCACAACACACTATGTCTACTACAATACAGTTTCGTTCGAAGGTCCCCATCATATAACACCTTTCAATCGATTCTGCAAGTGAGTGGAGGACGCATGCATGGCTT